GCAAATGGGGGGGGCTGCGCCCCCCCCAACCCCCCCGCTTCTTTTAAGCTGTACCAAGCGTGCTTCAAAGCCCAAGAAACTAGTTGAAAAACATCGTGTGTGCATTGTGTTTGCAAATGGGGGGGGGCTGCGCCCCCCCCAACCCCCCCGCTTTTTTTAAGCCGTGCAGAGCGTGCTTCAAAGCCCAAGAAATTTGTTGACACCCATCATGTGAGCAGGGTGTTTGCAAATGGGGGGGGGGGGCTGCGCCCCCCCAACCCCCCCCCGCTTCTGTTAAGCCGTACCAAGCGTGCTTCAAAGCCCGAGAAACTAGTTGAAAAAAAAGTATGAATCCGATGAAAATATAGAGGGAATGATAGAAACCAAGAAAACGAACCAAATAGGGTTTTCCCTAGGACAAACTAAGGAAAAGCAACGTACGCTTTGACGTTTGACGAAATCCGTCCAAAATGTAATCAGAAGAGGGTTTCCTTAGGAAAAACGAACGAAAACCTCGTTTTTTTCAAGCCGTGCAGAGCGTGCTTCAAAGCCCAAGAAACTTGTTGACACCCGTCATGTGAGCAGGGTGTTTGCCAATGAGGGGGGGCTGTGTTTTCCCCCAACCCCCCCCCCGCTTCATTTAAGTCGTACCAAGCTTGCTTCAAAGCCCAAGAAACTAGTTGAAAAGCATCGTGTGAGCATTGTGTTTGCAAATGGGGGGGGCTGCGCCCCCCCCAACCCCCCCGCTTTTTTTTGTTTTTTAAGCCGTGCAGAGCGCGCTTCAAAGCCCAAGAAACTTGTTGACACCCATCATGTGAGCAGGGTGTTTGCAAATGGGGGGTGGCTGCGCCCCCCCCCAACCCCCCCTGCTTCTTTTAAGCCGTACCAAGCGTGCTTCCCAACCCAAGAAACTAGTTGAAAAACATCGTGTGAGCATTGCAAATGGGGGGGGCTGCGCCCCCCCCAACCCCCCCGCTTCTTTTAAGCTGTACCAAGCGTGCTTCAAAGCCCAAGAAACTAGTTGAAAAACATCGTGTGTGCATTGTGTTTGCAAATGGGGGGGGCTGCGCCCCCCCCAACCCCCCCGCTTTTTTTAAGCCGTGCAGAGCGTGCTTCAACCTAAGGGAAATTACAGGAAATCCGTCCAAAATGTAAAAAAATAGGTTTTTCCCTATGAAAAACCAACGAAAACCTCAGGGAAATGACAGAAAATCCGGCCAAAATGTAAGGAAAGTAGGGTTTTTCCTAGAGAAAACCAAGGAAATCGACCAAAAAAAAAAAAAAAAGGCCCCAAAAAAAAAAAAAAAACCCAAAAAAAAACTCCACCCGTTTAGGGCTAGGGTGACAGTATTTTTCTCAATTCTTGATTGTGGGTTAACAGTGTGATGTTAGGCTTTTAGGTCTCCAGGATCTTCGTTTCGTTTTGTGTGGCTGAGTGTTGGGAGGCTGCCTGTCATGCTGCCAGGATCAGGTGCCTGGCCTTTGCCGGGAATAGCAACCCTCCCTCGAGTGACCTCAGTGCTGCGGAGTGGTCGGCCTCGCTGCTCCTCAGGCCGCTTCTCAGCATCCTTGGAAGAATAGCTTTAAGAATATGCTTGAATATAGCAATTTACTAGTGAACCAATAACAAGATGACTTAACTAGTACTGGAGGGGGGGGGGGTGGGGGATGGTGAAGTAGTGGTGGCTGGGCGCGTTTTAGGAATCTGGGGCACTAGCTGTATGGAAGCTCGAGGCATCGTGGTCCTGACGGTGATGCAGATAAAGCCCGGGCCTTCTTCGGCCTCCTTCGGCCTTTTTTCCATAGGCGTGTTGCACTCACAAGACTGACTGTGAAGGCTCAAAACGGTGGAGTTGCCTCGGAAAGATACCTTTGCCCGTTCACCCTCGCACAGGTGGTACCAGGATGGGCCGTTAGGCCCTATGACTCCCATAAACCAGCCCCATAAAGGCCCTTTTCTTGGGGTTATAGTCCAATGGCCCATCCTGATAGGCTTGTTTGACATGATTGCCAAGGAGCGGGAGCCGACGCAGATCTCCTTGGCGCCTGGGTGTGGGGCTTAAGACGCAATGACACCTTCTGGTTCTTGTAGGGAAGCAGGTTCCCTAAACCTGAAGATCCCCCAAATCGGTTATCTGCTGCAGGGGGATCGGTGCCTAAGTCCCTACGTCCGAATGAAGGACGAAAAACTGCGTCCATCAGCGCCCCAGGCACAACCCTCTACAGCTCTTCCTGGAAGGGCTTCAGGCACGATGAACCCTGGACCCTGATTAAGAAGCCCCCCACCCGCAGGGGATTTTGTTGGCATTCCCAAAACCCTAAACCCTAAACCCTAAACCCTAAACCCCAAGCCCCAAGCCCCAAACCCCAAACCCTAAACCCTAAACCCTAAACCCTAAACCCTAAACCCTAAACCCTAAACCCTAAACCCTAAACCCTAAACCCTAAACCCTACCTAAACCCTAAACTCTTTTTTTTGCAGGCGAACGCCACCTTAGAGGACTTGGACATCTCAGGCTGCAGCGTGGGCTCGCAACTCAGAGGGGCGATTTGGGTTTAGGGTTTAGGGCGGCTCACATGCTGTTTTCCCAGAGAGCTCTTAAGATGCCTGAATCAAGGACAAAGGCCTGGTTTTTCTCATACACTCCAGTAGCCGGGGGTTTGCTAGATATTAGGGGGTGGGGACTGGGCTGCTGAGGTGCAGACTCGGCTTGGGTCTTGCAGGAGGCGCTGCGCGTGCATGTTGGGCGCAGGTGTTGCTGAAACCTCGGGTTGGGACCCTAAGATCCTAAACCCTAAACCCTAAACCCTAAACCCTAAACCCTAAACCCTAAACCCTAAACCCTAAACCCTAAACCCTAAACCCTGAACCCTGAACCCTGAACCCTGAACCCTGAACCCTAAACCCTAAACCCTAAACCCGAAACCCTAAACCCTAAACCCAAAACCTAAGCCTCCCTGCCTTGCCAGGCCCTGCGGCGGCACCCCAAGTTGAAACAGCTACGTCTTTCTGACAACCCATTGGGGGAGCAAGGTGGCTGGGCTGCTATTCACGGGTTTAGGGTTTAGGGTTTTTGCATGAAGGACGTTTGTCAGCCCGGTTCTCCCCTGAGAAAGGACTGAGATATGTGCTGCGGCTTATCACGGAGATGGACCAAACCTTGCAAGGCCCAGGGCTGTAACACTTAGGGGGGCGGACACACACGGTTTGTCTGGGGCCCTTGTGGCACCCCGTGTAGCATGTCAGGCGCTGACATCAGTGGGCACCGGGAGGCGGACATCAGGTGTCCAGTCGCCACTTGCATTGCCAAGAGTGTCACCGGAGCGTGCGTAGACAAGGTGCTGCTTGTAGCAGCTGCTTGCAACTAGCATTGCACATGATCATGCCAGCCGAGGTCAAGTTTCGGCATGCCCAACCCCCTGGAAACTACAGGTGCGTCATGGGATGCATCCGATTCTTCCCCCACCCTCTGTGTGGGGTGGTAAGGGTGGCTCCCGCATCGGTTCGCTGTAGGGCAGGGATGATGGAAATCAATTATTTTTAATGCGATCTTGCATCTGATGGTTGTGGGGTGGGAGTGTGCCTTGAGTCAGCTCATTCGCTGCCCATGTTTCTCGGTGCTTCGCAGCACCGCAAGGCTCAATCTCAGTCTGCCGACTGACCGGGCGATTCTACGAAGGCTGCTGAGCCTCGCCCCTCGCCTGCTTGTAGGAAGTCGTTGACGCGCTGACCCTGTGAGTTCAAGTGAGGCAGAAGCACACTCCTCTGAAGTACCACATCGTTGCCCGGCTGCAGCTGCGTTCCGTGTCTTTGACCTTTGAGAGCACCCTTACAGCGCGTTCGCATCGTTGCCTGCTCCTTGAGGTTTCCTGAAGTCAGGGGCTCGGTGACCTATGCCGGCCAAGTGGTCCCCAGAGTTACCGCATGCACGTTTGTTGCAGGTTCGACCCGAAGACTGTCAGGCGCGATGCTTTGCGTGAGCATCGGGGTGCCACGTCGCAGCGAACGATTGGTGATGAGTTGGCTTTTTTTGACCTTTTCTCAGCTGGTTGGCTCAATTTTCGGTCATCTGCGCATGTTCTTGATGCTCGAACAACGCGAAGAATATGGGTATTTCCCAAAACAAGGGGGGGTACGCTTTTTCAATACCCCAAAGAGAATAGAATCCCCTTAAAGGGACCCCCCAAAATAGGGCACCCCTACATTCGGAAGCCCATGTCAGACGAGTAGAAGGGGGGCTATACATGGGGGTTTACAAGAGGGTATAAGGGGGTATAAGGGGAGGTTTACAGCGGGGTAAGTATTAATAAACCCTAAACCCTAAACCCTAAACCCTAAACCCTAAACCCTAAACCCTAAACCCTAAACCCTAAACCCTAAACCCTAAACCCTAAATCCTACAGTAAACCCCAAACCCTAAACCCTAAACCCGAAACCCGAAACCCTAAACCCTAAACCGAGCTCACGGAGCGATGAGCCAGGCCCTCGGTGGAAAAGGATGTGGCGAGGGGGCGGTGGCTGGTTCCCAGCTCGGGCACCTGCAACGCCAAAGCCTCAGGGACGGACGGTTCGGCCCCATGAGGGTTTAGGGTTTAGGGCTCAGGGTTTAGGGTTTAGGGCTTATAGGGTTTCGGGTAAGCACCTAAACCCTACAGTAAAGGGGGGGAGGAGGGGGGGGGGGGGCATGATAGCGTCTCCGATCTGTGATTGGACTCCCTCTGCCTAGCTGTGAGCCTTCTGGGCGACTGTCTGGAGCTCAATTTCACGCAGTAACGACCTTTCCTCAGCCGTTGTTGCGGGTTTGGGTTGTTATCTGTCTCTGTCGCTCTCTCTCTCTCTCTCTGTCTGTGTGTCTGTCTGCCTGTCCGTCTGTCTGTCTGTGTCTGTCTGTCTGTCTCTGTGTGTGTGTGTGTGTGTGTGTGTTTGTTTGTTTGTTTGTGTGTGTGTGTGTGTGCTTAGTTGGGAGGAAAGTGTGTTAGCCCAGGGGCGTGGGTAGGTGTGGGTGTCGTTCTCCCAGTTGAAGATGAAGCTTTCGGAGTCTTCAAGCCACCGACCCTGCATCGTGGTTGTTTCGGGTTTAGGGTTTAGGCGGGAGACTAAAACGTCCCAGACCCTACGGCCCCAAAACACTGCTTCTAGGAGAGCGAGCTGCTCCGGAGAACCCCGTCCTAGCTCAGGTCACATACGCGCCGCCCCTTTCGGAAGCGAGCTTCTTGCATCTGAAGGAGAAGCCCGGCTTTTATTGGCTGTTGTTTCGCCGAAATTTGCCTTACTTTTGGCATTCTTGTGTGTTTTCCCCCTTATACTAACAGACCCTAATAGGGATGATGGTACCCCCCCTGTATATTCCCCATTGAGGACTGTTAGCATAAGGGGAACATCCCAATGTGTTCCCTCCGAATGGCTGTGCAACCGAGGGCAGAAGCCGATGTGTCCGCACCTCTAGTCTCAGGGTAGCTCTATGGTCCCTTAATATGGTCCCTCGAGGTCTTTCAAAAAGGGCCCATACTAGGGGACCATTGCAGTGCTCGTATGAGCAGGGCCCGACTTATGTGCGGCGCAAGTTGCGCGAAACGAGGCCGAAGCCCGAGATCGAGCAGGCAACGTCGACGACCCTGAGGCCCTGGGGCAACACAGCGATCCACGCCGTGTTCAGGTGGTGACTCCGACATCCAGCCCTCGTGGCAGATTGCAGGCTCAGATGGCTGGGTTCTCGGCAAGGGCAGTTGCATGCCTCAACGACGCTCCTTTTGCATTGCGCAAGGCCTTTTCCAGAAAGCAGAAGGCGCGGCACCCCAACCGGCCGAGTTCCTGACGCCCTCCCTTTCTGAGGGTCTCACCGTGTGGAGGTGTCATCGCCCATGTCCCACGGCACCGGGCACCACGGCTCAATCGCTGCCATGGAAGGAGGCCCGTTTAAGGGACCTTAGGGTTAATTTAGGAGTTTTTTAGGGGCCACTTAGATTTATAGGGACTATATACGGTACAAATATAGGCGTTATATAGAAAGCTCAAGCGCCCGAAGCCCTCATCGCCGAAGGTCCGACAGCGGCCGCGGCACCGGACAAGGAGAAGCAGCGGGTGGTGCTCCCCCCGGGTCTGCCAGGCTCAAGTCGAAGAGCAGGATAGGGTGTCAGGGTTTAGGGTTCTCTGTGGCGTGGCACAGACGACATACCCCAGACAACGGAATACCAATTGAGGGGAGGCATATGCTCAAAGTTTTGCTGGAGTCCGGATATGATATACTGTATCAGATTCTTCTTCAGTTAAGTGGTTGCTCTTTGGGCCAAACAGGCACACCAGAGGGAGACTGGCTGGAAGTGTACGACCTGATCCAGGACACGGCGCTTCGAGATTCGTGCCAGCGCGTGCATCGTAGAAACACGCAACAAAGCCAGGACTGCCGCATCAAGGCCCCCGTCCGCTTAGGGTAAAGGGTTTGGGTTTAGGGTGTAGGGTGCAGGGTGTAGGGTGTAAGGTGTAGGGTTGAGGTTGTCACATTTCCCTAAACCCTAGCATTTTAGAACCCTAAACCCTAAACCTAAACCCTAAACCCTCAACCACCCTAAACCACCCTAAACCACCCTAAACCACCCTAAACCACCCTAAACCACCCTAAACCACCCTAAACCACCCTAAACCACCCTAAACCACCCTAAACCACCCTAAACCACCCTAAACCGCCCTAAACCGCCCTAAACCGCCCTAAACCACCCTAAACCACCGTAAACCACCGTAAACCACCCTAAACCCTAAACCCTAAACCCTAAGCTTTCGGGAGGTCCGGGCTCCGGCCTTCGGCCTCTTCAAGCAAGCGCTGGCCGTGATGGTGACGGATGAGGCGCAGGGGGGGGGATTTGGGTGGGCTTCAGGGTTTAGGGTTTAGGGTTTAGGGTTTAGGGTTTAGGGTTTAGGGTTTAGGGTTTAGGGAAAAACCAAAGGGTTTAGGGTTCATGGGTTGGGGGGTGGGGGTGGGGATTGGGGGGGGGGATTGGGGGGGAGGGGAAGACCTTGAGGAAGCTTGACGGTTCAGGGTTTGGGGTTTAGGGTTTGCTGGATCCTTGTTGGTCTTTTTTTTTGCATTTTGGTCATATTGAATCCCCACTAAGGAATAAAAAGAATCATTTTGAATGTAACCCCGACAAGGAAGAAGTTCAGGGGTTGAGGGTTTGTTCAGCTTAGGGTTCAAAAGGGTTTAGGGGAACATACTTTATATAGGGGTCCTGACTATGATTTAAGGTATATTTCTCAGTTAGGGGGGGGGGTGTTGGGCTCTTTGGGGAGTGGCAAGCGAAGAGCACAATGGCTTCTTGCTGCCGTGGGTTGGCAAGGAGCGCATGCGGTTTGCGAGGGCCTTGGGCAAGGAGCTCTGGTTCACCGAAGCACAGGCGGGAGGGGGGGGGTCGACTTGAGTCCTTGAGCAGGAGAGCCCTAAAACCCCGAAACTTGCAGCAACTGTAGTCACTGTAGTCTTTCCGGTTATCAGGTTGTCATCCTTTGTGAGGCTTGGGGACTACGGCTTTTCGCTCTCTTAACTACCTGGTTGCTTTTTGTGTCGCACTGCCATGGGGAGCCTAAACCCTGGCCCGGGCGGCCAGAAAAACCCCTAGACCAAAGACCACAGATTGATGGTGGTTGTCTTTGCCAAACCCTAGACCCCAAAAAGCCCTAAACCCTAGAGCCTGCTGTTGCAGAGAGTGCTTGCAAACGCAGAACCCTCAGCCTAAACCCCACAATCCATGCATCTGCTGGAAGGTCAGGGTCTTGACCGAGACGCGGGCGGCCGGGAGCTCTGAGGGTTTAGGGGTTCACGGTCCTTGGGCTCCTCCTGGCAGAGTCGTCGCAGGCCAGTCAGGGAGCTCGGGGTGTGTTACATCCGAGGGAGCGCCTACGACTTACACACCCGAGACCCTAAACCCTACACCATATACCCAGCTTCTGCTGGCATAGAGCCTCATGCACGAGACACCAAAAAGGTGAGACCCAAAAGATGCACTGAAGCAAGGGTTTAGGATTTAGGAGGGTTTAGGGTTTAGGGTTTAGGAGGGTTTAGGGTCTGAGCTTGCGAGCCGTGTGCCTTTTTGAGGAAGTGGCTGTGCAACTGGTGCCTGGCCTACGCGGTGTCCCACTGTGGCTGATTTTCTGACCAGTGCCTTCATAGATGGTTGATATATTCATGTAAAACATGATCTATATTATGACTGTATAATTTTGTATTGATATAGTTCTACTACCACTGTATACAAGAATCATATATATATATATATATATGTTTATATAATTTAATTGTCTATTGATCCAGCTATTTCAGTGTCTATTTTTGCTCTCGTGTGATTGCGCAGCCACTTCGAGCTGCTTGCTCAGGTGTGCTTCTTGTTCCCAGCATTGCGAAGTCCGGAGCTCGAACAGGGCTGTTAGTGCTACGCGACCCGCCTCGGCCTGCGAGGCAACCCAAAGCGGAGGTCGCGGGTGTGAAGCCCTGTGCTAACGCCAAATATGGGAAACAAGAAACCCCGAATGTGGGAGTGGTAAAAAAAACACAAGGGAAATGCCGGGTTGACAGTTCGGGGGGGGTGGGGGCGCGGCGACGGGGTTGCAATGTGCGCAGCAGGCGTTGGAGGTGGGGTACTTGCTTTATGCTACCAATACACCTACGGCCCTGGTACCAGTGGCGGTCTCGGCGGATGATTATGCGAAATATCGTCGCCGTGGAAAGCATTGCTTCGTGGAAGTGGTGGTTCGACTTCTTGCTTTTGGGACGCGTGTGGCTTTCTGGCGTGACAAGTGCCAGAGGCCGGAGATACCAGCTGGCGCTGGCGCATCAGATCACAGACCCTGCGCCGATGACAAAGGTCGCGCAACAAGCTTCGTTTTGGGGGGAGGGGTGGGGGCACTTCCAAAACTCGTTTGTGCCCTTTGTGTGTGTATGTGCTAACCCCCAAAGCCAAAGACCTGTATGAGGTGTGCAATGCGGTCCGCCATCTGCTTTGGTTCCAGGACACCAACCCCACTGGCAGAGTCTTGGTTGCAAGACGCCCGGGATGCGAAGACGTGCCAGCCGCGCAATTACAGCAATTCTGAGAAGCTAAGGCTACAACTTGGACTTGTCCATCCCAGTGGACTACGCCCTCGCAGTAGCTTGGTGTAGGGCAGAAGATGAAACCAGAAACCCTAAACCCTAAACCCTGCGGTCCGGCCAGCTATGCGGGAGCAAAAAACCCCTCAACCCTAAACCCTAAACATTGGAGAGATGTTCCTTGTTTCAGAGAGACTTTAACCCCTTAAACCCTAAACCCAAAACCCAAAACCTTAAGCTCTAAACCCTAAACCTCTAGCCCTAAACCCAAAACCCTAAACCCTAAACCCTAAACCCTGGCGCCCTTCTGAGGAGTGCTGCTTGCTGGTCAATGCCTGGGAGTCCGAGTCTGCCCGCTGCGCTGCTCACCTGCGATATGGCTTAGGGCCTGTAGGGTTTAGGGTTTAGGATGTAGGGTTTAGGGTTTAGGATGTAGGGTTTAGGGTTTAGGATGTAGGGTTTAGGGTTTAGGGTTCATGTGGTCCAACGTGGTCCCATGTCCTTGAGGCTGGGCGCCCGGATTTATCCCAATCAGGACGGTTGTCAGGGGCTCCCGAAGTTGAGCCGAAAGCCATCGGAGCCTCTTTGCGGCCCCCTGCGCGGTACTCGTATCTTTAGAGCCTTGCAGCTGGAGTGCAGGAAATGGCGAGATGATACGCAACGAGGCACCGGAAGCTTTTCATTGGGATGGCAGGAGATAGCCTGTGTGCTTCTGTGTCGCACGCCGAGGCTTACAATGACGTACCCTTTGTCTTCTCCAAGGATCCTACTCGTGCTGGCTAGTGTTCAAAACGAATGCCCAAGCCGCAGCGCATGCTGACTGTGCATGGTGAGGACTGGCTGTTGCCATCAAGTGGCTGGTTCCGGTTTGAGTACTCGTCGACAAGACGCCCGCCTCCAGATGCGACAACCATGAACGAGGTTTCGGAGTCCTGGCTTTGTTCTCCACGGCAGTGGATGCAAGAGTCCAGAGTGACCCGCCCCTTCCCCCCCCCATGAGCATGCTTGCCAAGGAGATATCTCGCCTCCTGAGAAACAAGGCCTGCATAGGTTGCCTTGTCGGATGGCTTTGGTCCCGATGCTCTGGCGCAACTTCTGCACAGCATGTGCGACATGCATCATGGTCAAGGCTTTGTGAGGTTAAGCTGGCAGTGCAAGAATGCAGGACCTCAGCAGCCAGTCGCGGCTGCAGGCCCTGAGAGCAGCCTCGGACGCTCGGACGGAGAACTGGTTTCCGTCGATTGTGGCTTCTTCTGCGATTTGCAGCGCGTTTGAGTCCGGTTGGGTCGGAGTCCGTGTTGTTGAAGCCTCGGGGCGGAGTTATCTCAGCGAAGGGAGTGAGCCTCCTCGGCCAAGGTGCACCTGTTCATCTCCAGCAACCAGTGCAGAGCACTGGTCCAGCACGGTGCTCAGTGAGGAGGTCACAGGATCGCACCCCCGAAACGGAGCTGGGAGCGCACATGGGCACAGCTTTGAAAACAGCTGCCGAGGTGCTTTCCGTCAGCCCCCGAATCCTCGCGGCTCGGTCTGCATAGACTTGCCACGACTTGCTCTGCAAAAGCGGAGCAAAACGCTGGAAGGTCCATCGACGCCGTGAACAGCGGAACAGATGAGTCTTCAGACCGACAAGAAGCATTTTGCATTCTGCACACGCGCGTGGTCGACCGAGAGCGCCGCTTTGCTCAACCAGGATGGAGTGCCTAATTGTAACTCCTCCCTGAACCCTAAACCCTAAACCCTAAACCCTAAGGTTTTCGTGTGAGAGTCGAAACCCTAAACCTTAAACCCTGAACCCATCTAAACCCTAAACCCTCAACCCTGGAAAGTGATTGTTTGGATGCGCAACTCAGGTTTGCTGGGGCCCGAAGTGTTGTACTCACCGTTCTGCCCCCAGGTGGTGCTAGCAGGATGTGCGACTGAGGCAGGTGCCCATGTGAAACACATGTGAAAAAAGTGAGCTATGGCAAACACCTGTGAAACACGTGTGAAACACATGCGAAACACATGTGAAACACATGTGAAGCACGAAGTCGCCAAGGGTCATCGTGCAGCAGATCGGAATGGGCCATCATGGCACGTCCGTCCTGGTCAGAGGAGGTATGTTCAAGACCGGGGAGCTGGAAATGAAGAGCGCGGAAGCGCCTCCGGGTTGCACTTTTTTGTGGGCTATGTGGGCTTCAGAGTCGCCGCTGGTCTCTGCCAGGCCCTCCCTGGCTCTGCCATGCTGTGAAGTCCAGATACAAAAGGGTTTCGTGTGAATTTCGGACGTCTTTGGCGATGGGAGCAGCCATCGGACAGCTTCTCCTCGTTTTGTGGAGCTTTGTGGTTGGTGGCCAGATGATGTAAGGCAAATCCCGACATCAGCTCCGGCCTCAGCCGGGCTGACCCTTTCGCATCGTCGGCATTCATATAGGTTTTTTTTTTCCTTGCCGGTAGGTGGCCACGGCCCTGAAGGGTGCGCCAGGAGCCAAGTCGCGGAAGGCGTTCGTCGTTGCCACCAGAAGCCTTCCGAAGCCCAGGCATGGTTCCAAGAAAACCGCCGGGTGCACGCCTTGTCGGATGCATGCGTTTGCTGATTTTCGGCAAACTTTCTCGCAGATGGCTCGTGCAGGGGCCGACGGGGAGGCTTGGCCATCGACCACAACCCGCCAGCATCCCAGAGAGACTTGAAGACTGTTAGCCTCCAGGACAGCAAGGGTTTAGGGTTTAGGGTTTAGGGTTTAGGGTTTAGGGTTTAGGGTTTAGGGTTTAGGGTTTAGGGCCCAGCTGCCTCAGGCATTCAGCGTACTACAACTTCCTCATTGTCTTCAAAGACCGGGGGGGGGGCCTTGAGTTTGATATTCTTCGCCACTGTTTCCATACCTCTTCCCTGGGCAGGAGCAAGATATCTTGGCGCTGTATAGGCGGTCAGGTTCATAGCTGCCATAGCTTGCTCCACAAGGCATCAAAAGGGTCATTGCTTCTTCGTAGCGAGGCTGGGTGTGCTACATCTCCTGAACCCCTACAAGCCGGAGATTCTTCGAATGCCGGCACCTGAGCCACCCATGGTGCGCGCTGGCAGCAGTTTTTGTGATTGTCCTGACGATATTGCATGGCCTAGAGAACTGGAGAACCAGGCTTGCTGGCGCGAGAAGTGTAGCGGGATAGAATTGACTAAGCGCGGGTCGCAGATCATGTCCTTGTGTGCCCAGGCCAGTGGACTTGAGCATCCACGAGCAGCACCGCATTGCACGGAGCTTAGCGAAGGCTCGCGCATCGGTGGCCAAGGCAGTGGCGAAAGCTTAAGGCCCCCAAGCCCTCAAAACATATAAAAACCCCAAGCCCTGCCAACCAGAAGCCCTCCAAGGCCCAAGTCCCAAGCCAATTTAGGGACCGAAACCCTACGGATGAACCCCAAGCCCGGGTTAACCCTCCTAAGCCCTAAACCGCCTAAACCCTATACCCAAAACCCTATACCCAAAACCCTAAACACTAATAACAGCCCTCATCCGAAAAAAATCCCCTAAGCACTAGAAAAAGTCCCCCAAACCCTAAACACCGCCCTAAACCCTAAACCCTAAACCCACACCAAGGTGGATTTTCTCGTCCAGCTGGCCAGTGCCGAGACTGGCAGCGGACCGCTGAGCTGATGTCAACATGTCAGGGGCCGCAAAGGATGTCGAAGGCTTGGCCTGTGGTTCAATCTAATACATATATATACATATATATATATATATACATATACAAGAACTAAATAAATACAAATTCACAATGTATGTCTATATATATATATGTGTATGCTACCCACCGAATTCAATGCAATAAATGACACAAGAGGTGGTGGTGGTGGTGGTGGTGGTAGGGGTAGTAGGAGGAGTAGTAGTAGTAGGAGGAGGTGGAGGAGGAGGAGGCGTAAATGGTTTAGGAGGAGGAGTAAATGGTTTGGCGGCTGCGAAACTGGAGACGATCTGCTCACTCCCCTAAAACCTGAGCCCTAAACCCCTGAAACCCTTACAACCCTGGGCCCCAAACCCCAAAACCCAAAACCAAAAACCCTAAAACCGTCAACCCATGTTTAGCGAAGGCCTAGACCCTATAAACCTTAAGGCCTAAGACCCTAAACCTAGAACCAACCCACAACCACAGATTCCCGAGTTCGAAGAGCCTAGGGAAAACAATAGGACAGCTGATGAGCTTCGGTGATCGAAACGACAACCCCTCCCAACACAGCAGCTGAGTCCCGCTTTGCCCCGCCTCTTGCTTTGCCTCTTATCTGCCCTTCGTGACCTCCATATTCTCTGCTGATTGTTTCCATGCCAGCTGTGGAGCTCTTGATTTTCTGCAGCATTTAGAGGTGCTTTCAAGACATTGAGGGTTCACTTGGTGACATGTAAAGCTTCAGGGGTAAAGGTCTGAGCAACGACGACTCTCAACCTGGACTAGGCATATGAGGACACCTTGCCCCCCTCTATGTATTTGGGGGTTTACGATATTCGGGGTACCTTATTGGGGTCTAATTTAGGTCCCCTATTGTCGTAAACCCCCAAGGAAGCTTACAAATATCCCCCACCCCTCTTCCCTTAATTGTTTAAAGCAGCATAGTTACCAGTAGGTAGATCTTTTGGGTACCATACACACACATAGGAACATAACGCGTTGCCCTTTCCAAGGGTGTGTGGGTGCATGTTGGATAGGAGGTCTTGTGATTTGCAACGTGGGTGAGTGCCCAAAAGGGCTCTCGAAATGATGTTCTCCCTTATACTAACAGTCATTCATAGGGATTATAGTAGAGGGTGGAATCAGACCCTAAACCCTAAACCCTAAACCCTAAACCGCTTTCTGTTTCTTCCAAGGCCGCGTTCTCTGCTGGCTGGACGGGCAGCAGGTAGGGAGAGCTGAGACCAGGGTTCAGAATTCGGGGCTTAGGCTGTGGCATGTTCTCCCTTATACTAACAGTCATAGGGATTATAGTAGGGGGTACTATTCTCCCTTATACTAACAGTCATTCACAGGGATTATAGTAGGGGGTACTAGAATCCCTCTTGCGGACTGTTAGTGTAAGGGGGAACATCTCAAGGTTGAGGGTCAGTGTCAGCGTCAGGGGGAGCCGGTTGGTGATACCCCAGGCTTACAGCCGATGCAGTTAAGGGGTATAAGGGGGGATTAGGGTTTAGGGTTTAGGGTTTAGGGTCTTATTCCCCTATATAAACCCTATGTATACCTTATGTAGCTCCTATATACGTAAGTACCCTAGATAACCCCTAAGGTCCCTCAGAAGGGTCCCTAGTTTGGTCCCTTGATGAGCTCAGACCCTGACTTGACTCTGTGCAGGTGGCGGTGCCCGCATCCTGGGCAGACAAAGGTGTTCCCCGAGCTCATGCTACCATCACCGTACCCGGCTGAAGCAGACCTGGCATGACCTGACATCTAACTTACTTCTCCAACAGCTGAACTTAAACTTTTTGGGTTTCCTTTTTTAGTAGGAATAATACAGTTTAACCTTTTTTTCCCTTGGTTATTGGAGAAGTAAGCTAAGCAGCACCCGCACGCCATCTTGATACTTGGGCACCCCCAAGTGAAACGTTGAGAGTCCGAGCAGCAAAGGTGTCGTATGAGGGGCACAACAGCTCCTTCACAGCACGGCAGGCTCTTGACCGTTGGTGCTTTGTGAACCGGGTTTACCGACCGACAAGCTTCAGATGCGTGCCACATGCATTGCGTGGTTCCTTTTTACATGCTTTTGATAAGGTCGCGCCCGGTGCCCCACCCCTCCCCTTGCAACACGGCCAGAAGCTTCATTCTCGCTCCAGACTCTCTGAGCTTGCAGGTCCTGGCTGAACAATACTGCACCGGTTTCTGGCAACCGTTTAGGGTTTAGGTTTAGGGCTAAGGGAGTGCCTGCATCCCCAAAGCCCGCTGTAAAGAGGGTTTCGGGCTGTCAATACGGCAGTGCATCCCATGATTCCCTCGTCCAGCAGCGGAACGAACGGTTTTGCTGCGTGTCTTGGTCTTTTCGCACGTAGCCCTGGGATGGATTCGGGGAATGATGTTCATTGTCGTTTCTCATGTAATTATAACTCTAAAGTATATATATATATATCTTATAGTACTTATACATTTTTTCACAAGGTCCCCAAATCCATCCCTGCTGTGCGACTCCGTGGGCCACTTGCGGACGTTAAACAGAAAGCGGGCCGGGGAGGTTTCGAGATCGGCTGCTCTGGGATGCTCGCGATGGAGTCCTTGTTGATTGCATGAGTCCAGCGCAGGCATTGCGTGTCAGCCGCGCGGCGAGTGCAGAGAGCATGGCACATATGTGCAGGCAAGGAAGGCTTAAGACCCCATAGCCACCATTGAGGTGTGCGCAGAGAGCAGTCTGGCACCTTCCTGGATCACTCCACGAGAGCCATGGAGTTTGGTGCTGTCAGTTGGGCTAGGGCTGCCCCATCCCCGAGCCTCCACGAAGCAAGAGCGGTCAGAACACAGGCGCCTCGCCACAGTGGTGACACGAAGCTGACATCCCTCGCTGCGCCCGGCAGCCTGGGGGTGTTGTGCTTGCTCGCTGGCGCCCGGTCCCGCACGTCCCAGAGACAAGGCGCAAAACTGCATGGGCAACGCCCGGCGCCGTCAGTGCAGCGTCGCTACACGGCGGAGACTACCCGAGTGATTGGGGACTGGGCGGATGGCCTAGTGGAAGCAGGCGAGGTAAAGCTGGTCGTGTCTGAGCTCCCGGGGAACATCACGCAGTTCCGGAGTGTTCACCCCAAAGGCTCCCGCTATGGCGAAGAGTATCAGGGTAGGTTTGGAACATCGTTTTTACAGTTTTATTATTCTCCTCAACACCCCCTACACAATCCTTACGAAGTCATAATCCTTGACCAAAAAATATAGGGCGCCCAAACCTACCATCCAGGTATGACCTGGGAGCTGGCAGCACGGAGAACTTGTACCTGGTCAAGCCGAAGTCCGAGAGGCCTTGGCTTCTCATCGGCGCCTTTAGCCGAGACAGCCAGAGCTTCTGGGCTTCATTAAGGAAGATAGTTTTTTTCTTTACATGCTGTTTATGGAATAATTTCTCAAGCCCAGTAGAAGGAACAAAACTGACCATTTCTACATGCTTATGAGTACTTAAACGCAATGTAGGGGACAAAAAGGGCCATTTTTTTAAAAGCGTGCCCCAACAATGGTGCAGGCTTGCTGACCGAGATGATGGAGACAGAGAAGGGCTTGGTGGACAAGATTGGGGTTCTGATGCTCCAGTTCTTCGACGGTGGGCAGGCGCATAGACAGCAACCATACTCCCCCTTAGTAGTAACACCATGTAGCACCCCCCCCCCCCCTACCCCCTGATGTTCAATACATATACTATCATATAACTACAATGGGTGTCTCTAATATTTGGGGGGCAGGGGGTTTACAATACTTGGGGGAGGGGATGAAGCACAAAGATAAGTGCCATGCCTTCATGAAGTGGGCGGGTTACCGAGATAGACCCAAGGAAGTAGGTCCAGCATGAAAAGCTTCCGGCCCAATCCCGTGCTAAACCCTAAGCCCCAAAACCCTGCACCCTAAACTCTACACGGAAAGTCTGCAGGTCCCATTCATCGAGGCGCGGGCTGCGGTTCCTTGCCATTCTGCAACGACGTAGTGCATGAGCTCGTCAGCGCATCTCCTTTCTCCAGCATGTTCGCCCATCGTGTGGTCACGAGTGTTGGGCCCTGTTTAAAGTGTTGGGCCCCATCCCCCCCCCCCGCCCGAACAGTCCAGAGGCTGGATTTGCTCCTCTTTAAACGGGCCCGGGGGTTTATATGGTTTTAATAGGGAGGAGCTTACATAAGTTTACAAGGGCCAGCGACGCCCGGCAATCTTGTTCAAAGGCGCGCCACGTGGAACTTTCTTAAGGCGCCCGGACGGTTTGACTTTATTCAGGATCCCACCGCGCAACCCCAACAGTCAGGGTGTCCTGAATAGCCCAGCCAAGTTGACTTTATAGAGGAGGCCCCTACTAAACCAGGTCCAACATTGAATGCCCAGGCCGCCTCAGGTGGTGCACTCGTGCACTCTAGGAGCAGCGGACCCTAAACCCTAAACCCTAAACCCTAAACCCTAAACCCTAAACCTTAAACCCTAAAACCTAAACCCTAAACCCAGTTCAAGCTAGATCTGCCAGCATGCTGAACTTGTGGCAGCCGCGTCATGCAACTGAGCTGCTAGCAACTTGGGGGGGTTTACAAAAACAAGGGACCCCCCCTAATATAGACCCCCAACGAGTAGGATCCCCTTGTAATAAGAACCCCATGTAAGGTGCCCCCTAATTTTTCGGAAACGCCCCCATTTCTTGCACCCCGGCAGTGTCAGGAGCTGGTGAACCAGAGATCCGGCGAGCCGCTCCTCATCTATGCCTCAGTGCCTGTGGTTCTGGTGCTCCTTGGAAGCAAAGTGGTGCCCTTTGTGCCCTTTTGGGTCACGGGTTTCTTCAGAGAGGCCACCAACCCCACAAAGGGGTATGTACCCTTATGGTACCCCAATTGTAAGATGGCCCTAAACCCTAAATCTGAAACCCTAAACGCTAAACCGTGCAGGAGGGGAAGAAAAACCCTAAACCCTAAACCTAATACCAAGGCTCAAGAAGAACCTGTCAGAGGCGGTGCTCAAGAAAGTCAGCCTTGTCCCGATCAAGAACAGCTCCAGGCGCCCTGCGTTCCGATGGGATGAGACCCCCTTTTGCCCTCATCTTCGGTGTTCTTTTTTTCTAAATTGGGTCTGAGTTGAGGGTTTAGGGGTTTAGGGGTTTCATTGACTGAGCGCCTGTGAGAGAGAGAGAGAGAGAGAGAGGGGTTTCGGGGTTTCGGGGTTTAGGGGTTTAGGGTTTTTTGGGTTTTTTCGGGGTGCAGGGTTTAGCAACGTGCAGGCTGGAAATCGATGATGGCCGCGTGATGCGCTTCGTCCTCACTCCCACAAACAAGCTGCCCGAGGCCCTCTCGGCCTTTGACCCGCTCACCGGCAGCCTCTTTTCCGGAAAGTTCTTCAGCGCTCACCGGAAGATAGGCGGGGGTTTCCGCAATTAGGGGGCACCTTTTTGGGGTCCTTTTTAACAAAGGGGATCCGATTCGGATGATCCGATTATTTCGGGTCTTTATTAGGGGTCCCTTAGGATCGTAAACCATCAGGTGAGAAGGACAGCCCCATGGACAGCCCGGGGATCGAAGGTTGGGAGACGTTTGTGGAGGACGCGGGGAGGGGGGGGCTTGCGGAAATCAGGTGGAGAGTGGGGAGAGACAGTGAGAGCTGAGACGATGTCGACAAATCCAGCAGTTCCTACTAATCGTCGAAAGGCGGATGGCGCATGTAGCGGTTTTGCCCGGCGTTTCCAAGCAGGACTGGCATCATTTGTTTGACTGCTACTTCTTCACCAAGCGCGCGGCCGCGGCCGTCCGGAAGATCTTCACGCTTTGTGAGGCCCTGCGGGGTCCGGATGTGACCCAGCTGGCTCCACTGCATGGCCCCGTGGTGCGGGAGCAATGCTGGAAGCTGATGGCCAAGTATGAGGCATGGACCGAGCAGAAGCTGAGAAAGGAGACGCGCAGGGACTTCCAGGTCTTGGTGATGTATGCCAGCGCTTATGGGCACACCAAGACCTTGGCCCAGCACATCTCAACCGGTCTGAAGTCTTCTGGCGTGAACGTCGTGGACTTGAACCTCGAGCACTGCACGGCGGAGGATGTTTCGAAGGCGTTGCAGACAGCCGATGGCTTCTGCATCGGAAGTCCCACCTTGGGTGGAGAGATGCCCAGCCAAGTGAAGGAGGCCTTGGGGGTCGTTCTGAGCCTGCCCGCCGACCGGCGCATGCCTTACGGGGTCTTCGGATCCTTTGGGTGGAGTGGCGAGGCGGTGGATGAGCTGCAGTTCCGCTTGAAGGATTCCGGCTTCCCGCTGGCCTTCGACCCCATCCGGGCCAAATTCAGACCTACGGCCGAAACGCTGGAGCTCTGCGCCGCGTCGGGGGTCCGGATGTTTCAGAAGCTCTGCCGAAATGTCTTGCAGAGGCGCAAGAGGCAACTGGGTAGTGCTTTGGGATAGTTTTGAATGTCCCTTCTTTCCCTTTTAAAGGGAACCTATTCACAGATAATTTCAAGGGGCTTTAAGGCACCCACTCAGGCAGGCACGAAACCTCGCCAAGGAGCCCGGCAGCGGGGCCCTGGATGCCTTTGGCAAGATGCGGACCTCGCAGGCCGTGATGACATCGCTGGGCTTCTCGGCCCTTGGGGGATATTTTTGTATCTTCCCTTCTTTGGGGTTGAGAGGAAACAAAAAGGCATTTCCGATAAAATAGGGGGTACCCCTGTTATACCCCAAAGAGAATTGGGCTCCCTTACATGGGAGCCCCCAAGAAGGGTATCCCCCCAACTTTCGGAACCCCCCCCCCCCCCACCCCCATTAACATTTAGGAGTATTTAGGAGTATTTAGGAGTATTTAGGAGTATTTAGGAGTACTGTTCAGATTGTTCCAAGGGCCTGAAAAAAAATCCGAGGTCCGAACGGCGACGAGCACACTCCGGTCGCCTGGGTCAACCAGGCGTCCTTCGAGCCCCTGGGCATCACGCTGGCCATCCCCAAGCCCGAGAAGGAGCATGGGCTATTATAGGCCTTAGAATCCCCAGAATAAACCGTTCATAAACCCTATAAAGGGCCTTTTAAAGGGGCTTATAGGGTATAAAATAGCCCGTCCTGGGAGGAGGCCGAGAAGGAGGTGGCCCTCTCGGAGGAGCCCGAGTCGCGCCTTGATGAGATCTTGAAGAGCCACGACAAGATCCGAACAAGGTACGTGGAAGGTGAGGAGGCGATGGATATCCTGGAGGACCTCCTTGCAACAAGCGATGCCGAGGTTCTCGACAAGGCTCACCTGAGCACTGTGAAGCCTCTTCTCTCTTTTTTTTGTGGTTTTGCGAAGCTGCCCCAAAGGGCAGTCGCTCCTTCTGCCGCTCTTCCTGTCCCCCCCCCCTCATCCCCTCATCCCTGGTGTGCTTTTCAGGCGATGGAGATCCTGGACCCCTATGGTGACGGCTTGGTCACCTTCGACGAGCTGAAGCTGGCCGTTCGACCGGGCGAGGCCCTGAGAGCCATGATGGACGCGAGGGCAGAAGAAGCCGAAGTTGCCGAAGGAGCCGAGGAGGAGGAGCAGGCCCTGGAGGACTTTGTGCTGAGCCTGGCGCCAGAGGGCGAGAGCTACGCAGAGCTGGCAAAGGCTGGAGCTCACAAGAAGGCCAAGGCAAAGAACGGATGTCGGGTGCTGGAGGGATGCCACGCGTACCTCGAGTGCCACACGGTCTCCATCCTGGATGCCGGGAACTACTCCCTGGTCTACGCCGAAGTGACATCTGGGAAGGTGTTGGACGAGAAGGTGAAAACCGACATCCGATCAGTGCTCGAATCCTCAGGCCTTGTCGGTTTCAACTTGCAGGAGGCAACCCAGGCCAGCCGGGCTCCCGCGGTGCCCGCGATGGCTGCCTTGCCAGCTTCGCCGCAGACTCGGCCCGGCTCCCAGCCGCCGGGCGCTTTTGCGGGTAGGGCAAAGAAAGCCCGGGCCGCAAGAGGCGCTCGTACGGCTCTGGCTGCGCGTGGAGGCGAAGAGCGAGACGTAGAGATGTCTGAGATACAGAGTTGGACAGGTCTCACGCCTGGCAAGGAATATCGTTTGCAGACGATGTCCATTGAAGAAGTAGCGGAGGATACGAGCACCATACGGTCTTTGGACTGGGATCGGGATCGCTTCGACATCGAGTTCCGCTTGGAGCGCGGCACAACCTACAATTCCTACGTCATCAAGGGTGCTGAGAAGACAGCCCTGGTGGACACTTCCCACGAGAAGTTTGAGGATCTCTACATTGCCGCACTTCGAAAGGAAGTAGATCTGAGCGCATTGGACTACTTGATTGTGTCCCACACAGAGCCGGATCATTCTGGTCTCATCGGAAAGGTTCTTGAGTTGGCAGAGCAAGCTGGCAACGAGAAGCTGGAGGTGATCGGCTCAAAGATGTGCATCGCCTACCTGGAGACTAGGTGGGACTTTACTACAACTTTATCACTTTATAAAATTTAGGGATCCTCTAATATCATGCTAAGGGAGCTAAGAGTTATAAACGTTTCTTGGGGGGGTTAAAGAGCAACCAAGGAGAACTTGGTCTTCCGGCCCTTCAAGAGCAGGATTGTGCAGACAGGTGTCCAGCTCGACTTGGGTGGCGGCCACAACTTGGAGTTTGTGACTCGGTAGGCCCTTGGGACATGTTATCTTTCCCCTTATTGGGCTTCGGAGGATATCATCTTTAGGAATATTTTTCAGAGTGTCTTAAGGGCCATCCTAGGTGATTGCCCCGAACCTTCATTGGCCCGATACCATGTTCACCTTCGACCCGAAGACGGGGCTGCTCTTCACCTGTGACGCCTTCGGCATGCACTACTGCTCCGAGCACCCGGAGGACGCCGAAGGAGTCCAGGAGCTCCTCCCCCACTATGCCACCTACTACGACTGCCTCTTGGGGGTACTTGGCAATAACTTTAAATAATTTTCGGGTACTATACTTCCCAAGAAACAGCAAAAAAGTACAATTTTGCGAAGGTTCCATGTTCAGTATAGGCCTCATGAAGCCCAACGCGCGATCCGTGCTCTCGGCCTTGGGCAAGATCAAAGACTTCGAGCTGAAGGCATCCAGGTGTGTGTTCGTCTGCAGCAAGCCTCCGTAATTATGATTCTTATAATATGATTATTAGAATGATTATGATTATTATTATTATTACTATTATTATTAATATAGATATCCCATACTAGATTCATACCCATGTTGAGATCCCCTTGAGGCCGTGGCCACGGGGCATGGGCCCATACTTTCCGAGAACGTGGAGAGCTTCATCGAGTACTATCGCTCCTGGAGTGAGAAGGCCACAGCCAAGATCGGGCCCTGCGTGGCGGTCTTTTGGGTGAGCCGTTTCGGGGAGAGCGAGCGACTGGCGCAGCTCTTTGCGCATGGGCTCACGAGCTGCAGCGTGAACGTGGAGATGCATGACCTCAATGCGGTGGATGGCTTGGAGATCACCGAGTGCCTTGGCCGGAACGAGGTCATTGTCGTGACAGCGCCGCCGAAAGAGTCACAGGGGGCCACGAACATCGGCAATATCGTGGCGAATCTTGGTCATAGTTGGGTAACATTTTTTACATGTTTAAGGATACTGAAACCCACGAAGGAATAAACATTCAAAGTTTTAACATTTTCCCAACCATGAACTAGGAATCTGAAGCCCAAGAAGCATCAGTTCGTGGTCCTCGACAGCTGTGACGATGCACAGGCGCAGGGGGTCGCACCCTGGTCGTCCGGGGACGTTCACGGAATCTAGTTCTGGATATCTATATTAACAATAGTGATAATAATAATAAGAATCATAATAATAACAATAATTATAAAAATAGTAATCAGTAGAAGAAGAAGAAGAAGAAGAAGAAGAAGAAGAAGAAGAAGAAGAAGAAGAAGAAGAAGAAGAAGAAGAAGAAGAAGAAGAAGAAGAAGAAGAAGACGAATAAGAAGAAGTGTATACGCTGGCGCGCCGCCTCGGCAGCCGGGCCGGCCCACGGACAGGAAAGGAGGAAAGAGGGTGGGGCCTAGGGCCTAGGGAGGTTTCAGGGGGGTGGGGGTTTCCCAGGGAGGGCGGGACGCCCCACATCAGATTGCAGCTCCTCCAAGTGATGGGGGCGGGGTTCCACCGGGCGGGGGGTTGGGGGGTGCGTCACAAAATCGTGTCTGCTTGTTCCAAACGCTTCTCGGCAGGAAGCCGAGGCGAATAATAGTAATAGATATCCCGCTAGACAGGGCTGCCTTGACATGTCTGCCCCGCGCCCCGAACCAGGAGCCCGTGGCGCTGCTGAGGAGCCGGCTGCTGAAGGCGAACGTCCCGGAGGCGATGGAACCTTTGGAGGTGACGACTCGCCCGATCACCGCCCAAGTCTTGCAAACCTTCGAGGAGGCGCAGGGTGAGAGTGAGACCATTTTGGTATGCCTGTTCCCTATCTTGGGGAGTTGGCCATGTGATGGGTTGAGGTGGCTATTCCGGATATTCCTGCTGCTGGGTTGTTCTGATTCTGCTTCATGCCACGGGTGTCCTGATCTTCTTCTTTTCTTCAGTATCAAAAATACTGCCAGTACATGAGGCTACGTGTGTGGAGGCTTGCTTTCCCTAAACCCTAAACCCTAAACCCTAAACCCTAAACCTTAAACCCGAAACCCTAAACCCTAAACCCTAAACCCTAAACCCTAAACCCTAAACCGGCAAGGCAGGCATGCAGACTGGCAAGAAGCTCACGCAGAAGAGCAAGGCGGCCGCTGCCAAGGGTCAGGCGCCGATTAGGGTTTGGGGTTTAGGGTTTAGGGTATAGGGTTTAGGGACCCCCACAGAACCCAAGACGGTTGTCGTTAAGGCATATTGAAAAAAGATCAGCCTATTGGGTCCTTAGAAGAGTATTGCAAGAACACCCCCCCTATTCTAGATCAGTTTAGGCTCCTTGGGAGATGATTAAAAAGACCCCCCCCCAAAAAAAAAAAAAAACAGATTAGCATCCTTAGAATGGAACATCAGTCAGATGGGCAACCCCCGCCCCCCACACCCGCCACACCCCCACACCCATGTGGTGAACGAAGTGGCTCTTGCTAGCAGTCACATTGCGTGGGGAAGCCACACTAACCCCTAGACCCTAAACCCTAAACCCTAAACCCCAACAAAAACCCTAACCCTAAACCGCGTCTGTCAGGACAAGGATCTCTCCAAAGCTTTGGGCCGGCTGGCCAGCTCACTTTACATCGTCACGGCCAAGAAGGCGGGGGTGCGCCACGCCATGGTTGCCAGCTGGGTGACTCCGGCATCCAGCAAGCCGCTGGGAGTGCCCCGGTTGATGTTTAGGGTTTAGGGTTTACGGTTTAGGGTTTAGGGTTTAGGTACTTTTCAGCTGCACCACCCAGTTGCTTAAAACCTCGCAGACCTCGAAGCGCGAAGCTCAGGTATCGGTCACCATCGCCAAGGAACGTGCCATGGCTGCTTGGCTTGCCAGTTGGGTGATCTTGACCTTGTGCTGCAATCTGCCACCGCCGCTGCTGCTTGAGGGTTTAGGGTTTAGGGTTTAGGGTTAGGGTTTAGGGTTTAGGGTTTAGGGTTTAGGGTCTAGGGTCTAGGGTTTAAGGGTTTTGTCGACTTGGCACGTTCCAAGCCTAACTCAGGAGCCCTTGCTGCGGATTGGTGATAGCTTCACCTTGAACATCTTGGAGGACAGCGCTGCCATCCCTAAACCCTAAACCCGAAACCCTAAACCCGAAACCCGAAACCCTAAACCCTAATTGTCCCGTTCTTTGCTTGTGAGATGCCCCTACTTGCAGGTTCATGGTGCTTCTTAGCCAGTTATAGCTGTACTTCTATCTGTACTTATAGCCATATTAGGGCACTTAAGGGGCCTATAAGTGGGTTATACGTACAGTTACGTTTGGTTAGTAAGTACCATGAACCTCCAAGTAGGCCGAAAAAGACGCCACGGCAAGCCTTGGAGTTTAGGGTTTAGGGTTTAGGATTTAGGGCCTTTGAGTGCAGGAGGGAAAGCCCCAGACCCTGCAAGTGATGAAGCACTTCCTGCAGCGTTTCTTTGTCATAGCGGAGTCGCATTTTACATCTTTCAGGTACTTAAACTCAATAAACCCTAAACCGTAAACCGTAAACCGTAAACCGTAAACCCGAACCCTAAGCCCTAGACCCTAAACCCTAAACCCTAGACCCTAAACCCTAAACCCTAAACCCTAAATCCTAAACCCTAAACCCTAAACCCTAAAACCCTAAACCCTAAACCCTCCCAACCATGAGCTAGGTTTCGCACCTGGAGTCGATCGCTTGGAGGGGGTGGACCACATCGAGGGTCCCAACGGCGCGGCCGTCCTGAGGCCGCTCAGTATTGTGGGGACCCTAAACCCTAAACCCTAAACCCTAAACCCTAAACCCTAAACCCTCAACCCTAAACCCTATACGGGGGCAACCGAAAGGGGAAGGGAATCAACCCTAACAGTCGCCAGAGGTTTCACCCTGAACCAACCAGCAAACACCGAAAACTCAGAACTTCTTTTTGCTACCAGGCGCATGGCCCAGTCTTGAGCCAAATAGTAACGGGTACGTTGACCCTTTTTCCTTTAACACCAACTCATTTCCTGAATACAAACTGCAGCTCCGCACTCCCCCTGTCCTAGGATTTCCTAGGACACAAACTGGAGGTGCAGACTTTTGACCTAAAAATTGTCGCTTTGACAACGGTCATCTTCATGTTTAACGTCCGATGGACGGGCCATAGCCATTAATTTGCACACCATGGTTTTACGTCTTTCCAGGACGAACCTTCAGCACATTGGCCGAATCCCTTTACCATTGAGGATTTCTTCACCTCACATTGAAAAAGTCTATGTTCCAACAGCCCGTTCCTCACCAAGGAACTCAGCATTCACCACCCAACCTTTCTTGACGCAATGCTTACAAAGCGTCTTGGCCCTGGGCTGTGAATATCGCAGAACATCACAGTCACTGCTTGCGTGCATACAGTTCCCACCCACCGTTGTATACAAAGTGGCACTCGCGGGAATAACCACCACTTTCCTGCCCCACAGCCATTTGTACAGCCGCCGAAAGAGATACCTGGCCAATTCCCAGAGTGTGATTGTTGCCACCAAATACACAGCGATGTCCGCATTGTTGATAACCATTTCAATACTTTGAGCCAGAACCATAACCGTAGATGTGTTGGCGACCCTGCACACCCCTTCTTCTGAGCAAAAGAATCCAGCATTTGACGCTTCTTCTCCACCAGTCGCCATCCCTTGCAGAGATGCAGCCACCATCATGACCGCCATTGCGAGAGAGGCCCTTTTCAAGTCAGTTCCTTGCACCAACATTTGGAGACCCCAAAGCGCCTTTTGCTTCGCGTAAACCTGTCCACTCATCAATTTCGTTAACAGGTCAGCAATCATGTACTCACCACGAAGATGTGCTATCACCATGTAACCACGGTCCACCAGAGACCTGACACCGGCTGCTCGAATTCTCAGGTGTCTTGTCCTCCAGCTTCCGGCAGGATATTGAATAATTGAGCACGTCGAAACCGAATCTGTATACAGCACTTTTTGCAGCGATTCTTCACCCGTTCCAACCAAAGCGGCAATTATAGGGGTACACGACTGAATCATCGTTGCTCCCTTTATAGACGCATGCAACTCAGCTTCAGCAGTGCTCAAAGCCACCGTTGACTGTCTCTGCGTTGCCCACATCACCGGACAATCACCCCAAACCACCACCGCTCCTGAGTGGCTCTTTTCGTTTTCACCTGCTGCAAAGCTAGCATCTGCGTAGGACTCTACCACCTTGACGCCTCGCCCATAACGCAACACCTCATTCCTTTCTTTTTCGCATGTTGCGATTGCTCCAAACGTCAAGCCTAACGTTGGAGTTGCAGCAAGGTATCGAAATACCTCCTCAGCCTTTTTAACCACAAATCGCGGCCTTCGGGATGTCCACAAAGACAACTGGCTTGTGCAGAAAGCCAAATCAGGTCGAGTTTTGATTGCCACCCAGAGGAACTCCCCTACGGCACCTTGAGCCGCTCGCAAGGAAGGAATATCCACCTCCTCTTCTTCACCTGGAGTTTCTTTCACCATTGGCAGGTTACTACCTTTTCCAGTTTCATCAATCTGATACCCTCTTCGGTTCAGTAAATCTCTCACAAAGTCCTCCTGATTGAGAAAGAAGCTGCCATTTCGATACCAGATTTGGACACCCAAAAACTTCAGGAATCCATCACCACAGCCTGGACCACAGAACTCGGGTTCAGAAGTTTTCCACTCCTTCCTGATCTGTTCCAAGGCTTCCCGGAGCACTGTCATAGTCCCAGCCATCAAGAAATCATCCACGTAAAGACCTATTGTCCCTACCAACTTGCTTGCACCTTCCGGCTTCTCTTGTGCCATAATAAGGAACAGACTTGGGTCTGCATTGGACCTCTGAAAGCTCAATGCTTGTCCATCCTTTGACACCCAAGACATGCCTTGAAGACGTTGATCTCGCCACTCCACCCATGCTGCAGGACTTTCGGCCAAACCGTACAAGGCCTTCCTCACAATCCACCGCTCCTCCTTTGTACAAAGACCCAATTTCACCGCCGCCCTTGGGGGCTGCACCACCACCAGACGCCCTTCTCTTTGCGCCCTATTCATCGGCGCCGTCAGAAAAGCTTTGGAAATGTCTAAACCAGCGATGATCCACACCATATATGCTGCGTGCCTCACTTGACACCTAAATGTAGTTGAATCTAAACCAGGAGCGTACAGCGAGTGACGACTGAGGGACCTCGGCCCTTCGTATTCTGTAGCTGCCGTTGACGAAATAAAATTGCCACATGCACAGATACGGGCACGTCGCCTCCCTGTCCCTTGCTTCCGGGTAAACACCACCAGACTGGGCACGTACTCAATCACCGGTGCATTAGGCTCTTCCGCCAATTTGTCCAGCTTTTCTTGAGTTGTTGGTTCCACCACCTCCAACTCTTTAACCAAAGACGTCACCTCGTCCGACAATGATTCCCTCCACTTTTCCAGCTCTTGCATGGCTTCTTGTGTAGGAATTGTTTTTGTTTGCAGGAACTCAACCTCCTCTGCTGCCTCAAGCGCGGTATTTTCTTGCACCATTTGCTGAACTTGAGCTGCTTTGACCAAAAACTTCGAGAGCTGTTCCTCGGTCCTTTTTGCTTTAACCAGCCATTCTCTAGTCTCTGATCCTTTTTCCCCAGTCGACTCATTGGCCGATCCATGGAACTCGTCCAAAACGCAACATTCCTGTTCAGCAATTAGGCGTCGAATACTCAAATGCTCCTCTAGAGCCCATTGGTGCGCCTCAAAAACAGCATAGTCGACTTCCTCCGCAATGTCGTCCAGCGAGGTCTCTTTCAACGTCATTTTTAACCATTTTCTTTTTTCACCTTCTTCAGCTCGTGGTTCCGGAAGAGGAAACTTACATTGGAGAAGATAGCACCTATCCTTGTAGCTCAAACGCTCCATAAAAACAGGTGTGTACCCTGTCAAAGATACCCTGTTCCCTTTCCAAGGCATAGGACCATGCAATTTTCTCGGAAAGAACGACATGAAGTTCCAGTGGATATCAACCAATTTTCCAGGCAAGACTTTCTTCCCATAGGATTGCTCCACCACTTCAGCTCCTTCCTCTAAAGCCTTTTCATCCTCAACCCAAAGCTGACCATCCTTATAGTCACCAAAGCCACACACATAATTGCAGCAATGCTTTTCATTGTGACTATCCCTATGCAATGATACCGGAGCATTGCATGAGATCTGAAGAGCAGAAAAATTGGCTTCAGGATTGTGAGGTAGGATGCCAGGTAACGACATAGCCATGGCCTTCGATGAGTCTCTTTTGTAACACCACACACTCCGCCATGAGTATAGTGGCCCAACACCAGAGCTCGCGTACTTGTGCACCAATTGTTAATACCACCTCTTCTATTCACCCTCTTTGGGTATACAATCCCTTCCAAAAGCTCCTCACAGTCCACGTAATCGTACATAGACCTTTCATACATTGACTTGGCTTTTTGTTCTTCATTTTCCAACTGTGTTCCATCCTCGGCAGTCTCACTTTTGCAGACCAAATAAGCATCTTCATGAGGAGAACAGCAAGTCGGCCAATACTCATCACCAGGAACATTGTCCTCAACATCTGCATTTTCTTCCAGCTCCCCCAGACCCTGCATGTCATCCTCGAAAATTTCTAAGGGCGGACTCTCCCCCCGCTTGCGAAGCAAGTGCAAGGAGCCCACATGACCACGCAGTGAAGAGGCCGGGCTTTTTGCCATCAACCGATGGCGAACTGGAGGATCGCGAGGCGGAGGTAAAGGAGGGCCTTCCTCATCACCGAACTGAAGCGCCGGTTTCTTCCCTTTGAGACGATGCTCTGGAGGAGAAGGCTCCTGTTCTTCTACCACCCCTTCCAACTCCAATTCTGGCGGTTCCTTAATGTTGGAAAAAATCGTAGTGCAGGGAAATAACACCAGTTCATCCGGATCTTTTGCAGTCCCTTGAGCTTCCACCCAATAATCACCAGGTAGGTCATCACATGGACCCAAAAGAAGCGCGGGCTGCGTACGATCGACCCATTGCCGACCTTTCTTTGTTCCATCCGGACCCAGCAACTCCCACGGACGACGTTTGACTTGAATCTGAGCACCAAAGGGAAGCAATGCTTTCGGGTTTAACCCCAACTCCCTTTCAGCTTTATGCCACCGTAACATTGACCACTGGCGAGCAGCCAGTGCCCAGTACGCCGGCCCGAGTCGCGCCTCCTTTAAGAGCGACCTCACACCACGTTTGAATAAACCCACACATGCTTCAGCGCGCCCATTTGTTTGCGGGACTCCAGGATCACCAGTGGTCCTATATATCAGACGAGTTTCACAAAAGGACCGGAAGCGTGCATTGACAAACTCCCCCGCTCGATCTGAATGGATTCTCAACACCGGATACCCATGTCTTTGCAAGCGCACCATCATCCTTTGAACAGCCGATAAAACAGTTGTCTGTTGTTTGTCCACAATCGGCGCCACCATAACGAAGTTGATCATACGGACAGGCTGGGTCAAGTGGCCCTTCAGTTCCTTCCAGGATTTTTCAGAAGCTTGGATTTTCAACACCTCTGCCTCCAGAACTGGCGCAGGTTCCACCGGCGCAGAGTCTTCCTCCTCGAAGTTAGCGGCTGCATCGCCTAACCATTCTCCGACACCAGCACCTTCATCCGCCACCTGATCTTCCACCTCATCCGCATCTTCCCCCTTTTCTGGAGGGCGACCCACATTGGGATCCAACATTGGAAATTGATAAACACCAATAACGGCGTG